ACTACCAAAATTAAAAGCCTATGTTATAGAGGATTCTGGGAAGATGGCAGAATAGGAAGCATCATGAATCTGTCTCTTCACTCAGACAACAATTGCACTGGCAGAATCTGTCTCATGTAACTATTTTAGAATGACAAGGTCTATTAAAGGCTTGCAGCTTTCAAGGGAAGGCTAGGAAGGTGAATTACAGTTAATTTTGGTCAATTTCAGCTCTTAGCTCAGTAGTGACTACCCATTCCCCACCTCTTAGCCTTATGGCAGGTAGCTGTGTATGTGTTCCTGGAGCAGTTTGCATACAGCTGGCAGGAGTCAGAGTGGTCAAAAAATATCCCATCCTCTAAATACCAGGGATCTCTACTCTCATCTCTGATTACTGCTTCTGACCAAGAGGTGCAGATAAAGAGGCAGGTAACCATTGTTGTTGCACCTCTCTCCATTGATGTAAGCCCCTCCCCCTCTGGCTGAAGTGACTGTAGGGGATTTAAAAGATTGGTGCCTTTTTGTTTTGTTTTGTTTTTTTACTCTCCTCCTTTTTTCCTCTTTTTTTTTTTCAGACATTAAATACAGAAACATTCAAAAAGCAACTGTGTGTATAGGGAAAAGTAGAAAGTACTACGCATACCCAGGAAAAGGTGCAGACTCAGAAAAGACCTGAGAAGACCTTAAGTTTGTACCTCAGGCTGATCCTTGGCACAGAAACAGCCTACAACAATTAAACACACACACTCACACTCACACACACACATCCACACACACACACACACCAAAAACAACAAAAACCCAGCAAACCCTAGGGAAGAAGAGGATATGTTTTCCAGAGTCACCACATTATTAGATTCAAATGTCCAGTTTCCAACAACAAAAAAAAAATTACAAAGCATACAAATAAGCAGTATCTTTGAAGTATGGCTCATTCAAAGAAAAAAGTAAATAAATCCGTAGAAACCATCCTTGAAAAAGACCTGATGGCAGATCTACTAAGCAAAGACTTTAAACCAATTCTCTTGAAGATGTTAAATGAAGATGTGGAAAAAGTCAAGAAAATGATATATAAACAAAATGGAATATCAGTAAAGAGAAAGAAAACCTATAAAGAAACAAAAAAAAATTCTGGAGCTGAAAAATATAGTGACTGAAATAAAAATTTAGTAGAGTAATTCAAAGGCAGATTGGAGCAGTCAGAATAGAGAATCAGCAAATTCAAAGGTAGGACAGTGGAAATTATCTAGTCTGAGGAACAGAAAAAAAAGATTGAAGAAAAATGAACAGGGCCTAAAGGACCTGGGGGACACCAAGTAGTGGACCAATATACACACTGTGGGAGTCCCAGAAGAAGAGAAAAAGGAGCACAGAAAATAATCAATAAACAATGGCTGAAAACATCTCAAATTTGATTTAAAAAACATGCATATAAACATCCAAGAAGCTCAGTGAATTCTAAATAAGATGAATCTAAAGAGACCCACACCAAGACACTTTTAATCAGATTTTAAAGGCCAAATCAAATCTTGAAAGCAGCATGAGTGAAGTGAATTGCCAAATATAAGTAATTCTTAGTAAGATTATCAGTAGATTTCTCATCAGAAACTTTGAAGGCCAGAAGGCAGTGAGCCAATATATGCAAAGTGCTAAAAAGAAAAAAAAAAAACTGTCAACAAAGAATCCTATATCCATCAAAACTTTTTCTTCAAAAGCAAGGGACAAATTAAGACAGTCTTAAATAAAGAAAAGCTGAGAGATTTTGTGACGACTAGACTTGCTCTGCAAAAAAATGCTTAAGGGAGTCCTGCATGTTGCAATGAAATATACTACATAGTAATTCAAAGTTGTATGAAAAAATAAATATCTCAATAAATATTAATTATATGAGCCAATATACAAGCTGGCATTATTGTAACAATAGGTTTTAACTCCTTTTAAGACAATAGGTTTTAACTTTTTTTTCTGCATGATTTAACAGACTAATACCTCTTTTAAAAACAATTATTAGTCTAAAAGCTAGTGTTATTATTACTTTGGTTTGTAACTCCAATTTTTGTTTCTACATAATTTAAGAGAATAATGTATTTAAAAGAATTATCAGTTTATGTTTTGGGGACACACAGTGTATCCAGATGTAATTTTGTGACATCAACCATTGATATAAAAAGTAAAATAGAGGTTCCTCTTCAAAGACTTTCCTCCCTGTCTAATTAGGAATAAATAGTAACTTCTCCTAAAAGCAAAATTTATTCAAAGACCTGTGCTAACATTCTTAAATATCTGCTGGCTGTAATAAAGAAATCAATGTCCTTTATATCCTTAGCTCCCACAATTTAGCCTAAATATTTGCCCTGGCATGCTTATACTGGTCCAAGCAAGCACTAGGTCATAACCTGTTCCTCTTCCTTATTTAAAAGTGTTTTTATCTTTCTCAGCATTCCACAAGTTACTTCCTCCTTCCTTTGTTCTCCTCTACCTTTGCCTCTTTTAAAAAATTCTAAGTTGCTAGCCAAACCAGACAAATACAGAATGTGAGGTCCCGTTCCAGCCAGTGGAAACCAGACACAGCAGTAGGGTGGATGCGTCAGGTTATAAATGACCCTGTCTCCTTTGTTCGGTGTACTCTTGTGGCAAAACTGCTGGCAATTGTGCCCTTTCTGCAGGAAATAAAAATGGCCTTACTAAATAAATTAAATTTATGTTCAAGTGCTATTTCTTTACAGCACCGGAGAACAAGCATTTCAAACAATTGAGAAGGGTGAGGACAGAGCTGTAAAGGAGCAGAGTTTTTGTATGTTGTTAAAGTTAAGCTGGTATAAATGCAAATTAGAGTGTTATAATTAGGATGTTAAATGTAATACCAAAGTAACCACAAAGAAAATAGTTATAGAGTATGCACAAAAGGTAATGAGAAAGGAATTTAAACATTTCACTAAAAAAATCACTAAACACTAAAGAAGACAGTGATCTCGGAAATGAGGGACAAAAAAGCTATAACATATAGAGAACAGCAAAATGACAGATGTCCCTCCTTATCAGTAGTTACTTTAAATGTAAATTGATTAAACTCTCCAGTCAAAGGACAGAGGTTGCCAGAAAGGATTTTAAAAGTAAAACAGGATCCAACTGTATGCTGTCTACACAGAGATTCACTTTAGACCCAAAAACACAAAAAGATTGAAAGGATGGAAAAGTATATTCCATAAAAATAGTAACCAAATGAGAGCAGAGGCAGCTTTACTAATATCAGACAAAATAGATTTTAAATTTTCAAAGATTATAAGAGACAAAGAAGGACATTATATATTAATACAAGGTTCAATACAGCAATAATATATAACAATTATGTTTACACACCTAATTACAGATCACAAAAATATGAAGTGAAAGTTGCCAGAACTGAAAGAGAAACAGACACTTCTGCAATAACGGTTGAAGACTTCAATATCCCATCCTCAATAATGATAAGAAAAACAAGACAGAAGTAAGGAAGTAGAGGAGTTAAACAATACAATAAACCAACTAGATCTAACAGACACACCAAACACTTTACCCAGCAACAATAGCATACACATTTTTTCTCATTGCATATGGGACATTTTGCAGGATAAGTCCATGTGTTAGGCTGCAAATTAAGTTCAAATTTGGTATACAAATGCAATGGAATATTATTCAGCCTTACAAAAGAAGAAAAATCTGGCATATGCTACAACATAGATGAACCTTGAGGACATTATGCTAAGGGAAATAAGCCAGTCACAAAAAGACAAATGCTATGAGTTAATTTATATGAGGTACTTAGAATAGTCAGAGAGGCAGAAAGTGGAATGATGGTTGCCAGAGGTTGGGGGAGGAGGGATGAAGAGTTAATGTTTAATGGGTACAGAGTTTCAGTTTTACAAGATGACAAGTTATAGAGATGGACAGTGGTGATGGTTATACAACATTATGAATTTACGTAATACCACTGAACGGTACACTTAAAAATGGTTGAGATGATAAATTTTATGTTATGCGGATCTCACCACAGTAAAAAAAAAAAAATTGGGAAAGAATGTTGGTCATTAGGAATTAACCTTATCAACTTCTTTTATATATCTACCCCAAACCTCTTTAGAGTTTTACCCAGGTATCCTCATCTCCTTTTTTAGAGGATGGCATGGCATTTAGCTATCTCCTACTGAAAAGCAGACAGGTTTCAAGTTAATAAATCTAAAGTTTGCCACTCAGTTATGGTGGGGATTATATTATATAAGTTTATTTTTTATCTCTACATAATTATTGAGAATTAAACATAATAAACAATATCTCTTTTTTTTCTAAATGTGAGTGGCTTGCTGTTACAAACGTGTCTCACATTAAGTGAAAATCGTTGTAACACAAAGATAATGGCTATACCCAAATGCAAGTTTGAGAGCAAGCCTGTCTAGATTTTTCAAATTACCTAAATAAAAACAGGGGTGTTTGTGATAAGACATTGGAATGAAGGATAAGAAAAATGGGAACGAACTGTAGTGAGTCGAAATTGGAGAAACGGAAGTGTTTTGTGTTTTTGCTCTTCTTGACTTCTAAATGCTTTGTGAGTGTAAAAATCAGAAACTAAATTTTGGCAACCTCTATATAAAAACTAAGGCTCCCTTCCAGATTCTGTACCCACTCTCTAGGTTGAATTCTTTGTTTTTCAGCTGCCTTGTGTCTTTATGTAATATGACTTTGTACTTCACAGCATGAAGGAAAGTGTTATACAGCCATTGGAGGCAAATAGATCCCTATTTGCTTTCAGGGTCTACCATTCACTAGTTTTGTGACCTGAGATATACCTTGAAACGTCCACATGTCTGTAAAATGAGAATAATGACCCCTATTATTATTTCAGAGGATTATATCTTACTATTACTGAGAAAATAGTAAGCTAATCATAGCTAACTTACAGTTTTTTACTTTTATTATTTAAAAGAAAGTACATTGCAAGTCAGTAAGAAAAAGGTGGAAATCCCCTTGGAGTGTGATAACCACTTCATAAAGTAATCATCAAAAACACAGAAATTGTAACCAAATTTGAGCATATTAAACCCATAACACTTTTTCCATCTATATAATTGATAATGACTATTTGCCTTTTTTAATATTAGGAGACCATATTTAACAGCCATCCTAAGGCCACTTAAAATTAAAGTAAATGGTTGTGCATGGCTTAGAGCACACTACTCAGGGCAGATTTGGAGCCATTCTAGTAGCAAAGGGGCTTGGAAACCTCGTTCTGATTTACGCAGTTCGTCAGATGTTTTTAAGCAGCTGATACTATAAATGACCACACAAGACCAAAAAAAAAAGATTATCAGAAGGCTTCTGCCTGAAAAGATGAATGCTAATAAAACACGATTGATGTCTTTAAGGCATTGAAGAGTATGCACTGAATAGTATATTCACTGAATTCAGGAATTTGAGTGGGGTAGGGGGGTCTTAAATGTTATTAGAAGCCCTATTTTATACACTGAGTTTTAAACACTGAAGTCATTACCTCACAATAGTTGATAAGAACTTGCACCACAGAAATGTAAATTTTATATTTATATCAGATGCAAACACAAAATATGATGATAGCAAATACAACAGAAATTAAGGTGGGCTTTTGTAAGCTCATATAAATGTGTGCCACAGATTGAATATTTTTAAATCCATTACACATGGTTCATAGAATGGTTAAAGCATCACATTCTTTTTAGTTTAGAATGACACTTTCTATTGTCAAATTGGTGAGGATAACCAAGAATTAGCACCATGGTTGCAAATATTTTTCTGTTTGCCTTTCGGACTCTGGAATCAAGGACTCTGGTCTCCTATGTGGAGAAGCTTCACCTCAGTCCCACTGCACTAGTAGTCTTCAGCGACAATATTTGGAGGATGACAGTTTGGATGATCATGTTAGTAATAATTCTAAGGAATGGAAATAGTCTATTCCATAATTAAACAGAAATCATAAACCACTATAAAAGTAAAGTCATAGAAAAAGAAAGTTGAAAATGTAAAGTCTCAAATGGTTTTATTTCATAATATATGAAAATCTTTGATTCATTTGTTCATATGCTGCTGTAGGTCAACTCCACTTACACATGCCAGTTTAGTTGAAAGGCCACTTTAGACAGTGTCCACTTCATTATCAACCCAGGTTCGTGTTTCATGGGGCTGACCATGCTTGTAGGCTTCGGGCTGCGTTGGTCATGACTCACTTTACTCCCGGTAGGAAGTGATTTCTGGCCCGTGTGTGTGTGTGTCATGTTTACTCAGAACACCTGAGCATGTGGTCTCTCCCTGACCCTCTCCCTCTCTGTTCTCCTCAGGACTACTGGCTGTCTCTCCTCTACAAGCGCCTGATTGGCCCCAAAGTCTTGGCTGTGCATGTGGCTGGGCTCCAGCGGAAGCCACGGCCTGGCCGAGTGATCCGGGACAAACTGAGGATTTATGCTCACTGCACAAACCACCACAAGTAAGTCCTCAGAGAGATGGCACAGAAAGGCCACCCGAGGGGCTCCCACCCCGTTCCATTTGGGACCCCTTCAAGACTCATGTCCATTCACTAATCTTATCGAAAACTTTTTGCCGCTGGAATCACCATACCTGCTCTTTGCAGGTTTCAAATAATTTCTGGTAAATAGCTTTTACTCCAAGTAAACGCTCCCTTCTCATACTTAGAGGATTAATCATAAAAGGTTCCTAAAATTCTTGCCATTTGTTCATTTACTTATTCATCCAACACATTTTTATTGGGCATTTTCTCTGTGCCAGTTGATGTAATGCCCATAAGGCTTTTTTGTGTGCCTAAGCTTCAGCCAAGTCAAGAGGTGTAAAATCTTTTCCTATGATCCACCAGCAAAGCTTAAGAAAAGAAATCTCCCTTTTTAAGATGCATGCTGGAGAGATATGCCACTAGAAACCTAGCCCTAGACCAATGCATCTCAAGCTGGGTGTCCCCAGAACTAATGGAGTGCCCAGAGGTGCTCATGCCAGCTTTAGAGCCATTTCCAGTGTTTTGAAAATCTTTTCAGCTATTTTAAAAATTAAGAGGCTAAGTGAAATCTGGGTTTCCTTTTCTGAGGGCTCTGGACTTATAACAACCGAATGTGGTAGTGTGGGGTTATCCTTCTCTTTTTGATCTGAAGCACTGGTTGTCATTACAGTTGTCTTTAAAACAAACAGGAAAATTAATTATCAATAAATAAAGTTTGGCAGACAAAAAAATTTAACACATTAAGACCATAAGGGAAAACTTTAAATTGGAGAGAGGGGGGTGCCTAAAGCAAAATCCATCTGGCCAAATATGACTTTCTTACATCACTTCCTGTTTAAGGCAGAGTAGGCTGCCCTGGAAAAGAGAATTATTTCTCTTTCTCTTAATGCAAAGAAAACCTGGTGGGGGGGATAACGGGGCAGGGAATGGTAAGCAAGGACCTCCAGCCAGACCTTCATTCCAGCCCAGGCCTATCGGGAGCTGATCAAGGGGAGTAACTAGTACAAAGAGCTTGGAGTGGTCAGGTTACAACAGATGCTCCTTCTCCTTCCTTGATGAGAGAGGAGCCAAGCCAATTAATTTATCATGATAAGACTTTTCAAAGAATCACTCTGAGCAGAGCAGGGACAGGGGCCAGTTGTCTTGTCAGTAGATACAAGTGCCTATTGTAAATGAGGGGAGGCTGGCTTGGGCAGAGGCCAGAGGCTTTCAACATCCCTTTTGCTCAACAGGAAGCTCAATCCAATACCTGACAGAGAGTGACTGCTTTATGGCCTTGGCCTGGAGTTATCTGATCATCACACAAGGAAACATTGTATTCCTTGTCTCTGCCCTGGCCCTGAGGTAACCACCCAAAAGGTGGACCCCCAGACTCAAGATAGAAAAATTACTCTTGGCACCTTATATCCCTGTTGGAAAGCATATCAGTCTGTGGCCTTTATACTACTAGTCTGAGGACTCGGGGAGAAAATTATCTGCAGCCATGGGCTTAGCAGGGTTTGCGTCCCTTCATAGAAGCCTCCTCACATAATCTCATTCAAGTGTTCATCCTCATTCTTTAACATTCTCATGGGAAGTTGTTATTAATATTCTGAGTGTACTGTGAACTCAGGGCCAGTGTCTCATTCATTTTGCATTCTTGGTGTCTAATGTAGTGACTGGCATGAAGATCCCAGGAAAGGTTTGCAAATGAATGAATGAATGCAGAAATTGGGCATCAAGATGTTACCGTTGATTTGAAGTTAGAGCTTTCTTCCCCTTTGATATTACCACATCAGCCAGAAGGAAATGGTATGATGGGGATTCTACCATTCCCTAGTATGAGACCTCAAACAAGTTACTGAAATCATCTGCATTCAAGACTCTCTGTCTACACCACCAGCTCTCCTCTAATTTCTATGCAAAGTCACTCCAGAATCTCTCTAGAGAAACGGTGTCACTGGGCTTCTATCAGTACAACCTCTCTCACTGCCTGTTAAAGAGACAGAAAGAAAAGACTTTCATAATCCATTCTACACATGACCCTAATGATAATAATTGGGGTGAAGGTGTTTTTGTTCCTATTAGATTCATAAAGAAAACCCACAGTGAATGCACAGAGCTGGCTGAGGTTTCAGGGCTCCTCCGTGTCGATGTCCAGCTAGGGTAGCTCAAAGGTAGAAGAAGTATCTATTCACCTCTCTGAGAAATCATGTGCCATTAAGGAAGCACTGCTGAGTCATTTATCTGTGGCCAATAGGCCAAAATCACAGAATTATCCAGAGTGGGCATGGTAGATTCACACTATTCAACCTTGACGAATACTCTGAAAATATTTGTCCCGGGTCAAAACAGGGATTGGAAGAGAAGGTATAAACTTATGAGTAGAATCATCCAGAGAAAGCATCTATTAAAACAACAACCCCTGCACTCCAGTGTGTATTGAATGCTTGCTGTGTGACAAGCATCTTTCCAGATATTTGCACTTATTTTATTGAATTTCAGAGGTTCTACGGTATCACACCTACATGCAAATAGCAGCATTAATAATGCAAAAATGCTACATTTGGAAAGAGCCCTTAGAAATCATATGGCCCAGTGCCTGTTCAACACAGGAATCCATTTCACATCTCCCTGACAGTCACGCAACCCCTACGTGGATACTGCCTGTCACAGCAGCCCCTTGCATTGTGGGTCATTTCTGACCTTGTAGAGCGCTGTCTCTTATGATTGATTTAGGAGAAAAAGTTAGACCCTTATACCACCACTAGCAGGTGCTTTTCTGTTTTCTATTCTGGAATTAACAAATTAGGACACTGACAGAATGGCAGTTCTCACCCTCGATCTTCTTGCTCAGAGAACAATCAAGTTTTGACAAGGAAGCCTCTTTTTATGAGCCATTCTGCTGAGACAATGTATGTTTCTGGGGTGGAGATGAGGTCCTTCGCCAAGTTCAGAACCAATTGGAACCTGGTGGATGTTGAAGCAAAATTAAGCCTTTTGGGGTTCAAGTTCGTTTATTATTGGCAAAACATGACTTCCTGTTTTTCAGAAGAATTTTTTTTAAAGACTCATAAAAATGGTTCCTGAGGCTTCTTGGACATCAAATGGCTCTTACAAAACAATATTTTGATGAGTTAAGTGTAAATGAATCAGAAACATGTGGATTAAATTTCCCTTAAAATACACAGGGGCTTTGAAATTAAGGGAAAAAATGTTTGGCAAAACATGGCCTGGCTTTTACCGAACCCAAAACCTTTGAATTAGATTTGGAGACAATGGATCAACCCAGTTTCAAGCACATTGACTTTCAGTGGGAATGACCGTGGACTGCAAAGCATCATCCCTTTCCCTTTCCCAGCCTCCCAGCTTCACTGGAGACATTTCTAGAACATGACTGTTTTCTATCTGGAAGTCAAGATGCACCTCCCCATTTGACATTCTCTACCTCTTACATTAGGATATTCCAATTCCAGCCTCCCTTCCCTGACTCACTTCCCCCTCCTCCCATGGCAACACAGAGAAATGTCAGGCAGGAAAAGAACAGCCAGAAAAAATGAACTCCAGATACATGGATTCTCTGCTGGTGAAAAAAAAAAAATCTTACCCATGAGTGAGACATGGGGCAAGATAGATGATCCTCTCAGACAACTTCTCTCTTGAAAGGAACATTCACTAAGATAACCAAAAGCCACCTGGACTTGACAACATCAGAAGGCCAGCAAATGCTTGCAGGCCAAGCCTTCAGACACCATTTTCTCCAAGATTATTTTTCTATGGTCAGAGAATATATGTTTCTCAGGAATTTGGATTCGCAACACACTACTTTCAGGTTGGTGCTGCACTCCCCAGCCAAGAATGTGTCTTTGCAGCAAAAAGGCCTCGCTTAATGTCCTTGCCCATAAGCCAAGCAGGGAGAGGGATGGCTGAGGCAGTCTTTAATGCCAACTCCTACCTGAGAAGGTGCTGTGAGTTCTGAGAGCCTCTATATGTGGGCCTCTGGGCTGTACTGGTTTGTCTTCCCCAGGGGAACTATGTAAGTGGAAATCAGACCACTGCCAAACAGCTTGAAAAAGACAGCTTTCCCTGCAGCAGTGCTGTGATTTCAGGTCTCCCTCCCACCCACCACTTCCCCACATCCCACCTTCTCTTCTGCAGTCTCTAAGGGCTCATTCTGCCCCAGCTCTGCAGAGGAGAAACTCATAAATGCAAGCACGTGGCTCTCTCCTCCTCCATTGCTGGCCTTTGAGAGTGTTGTTTGATGGTAGCTAGCAAAAGAGTTTACTGCAGTCTGGCAAAATTGATACCCATCCACATGTATTTTGCTCCCACTCTGAAGCCTAGAGGTCCTGCAATTAATGGTGTCTTCCTCAGTTTTACAGATAGCTAAGCTAAGCTGAAACCCCACCAATGGGAAAGAGTCGATGTTCTTCTTTAATGATGGTCAACACTGATTCAGGCTGCCAGCATCCTTCTTCAGAGTTCTGGGGACACAAGTATGCTTAAATCAACTGGCATTCTCTTCTGACCTAACTCATTTAGCTACAAAAGCTAGTTCACATGTTGCAGGGGATTAAGAAGGACTGGAGGAGGAGGAACCGGATGGAAGAGTCATTTTAATAATTTATCAGAGCACAAATGCAGGCATCCAAAAGCCTTGAACACAATAATGTACCCTCCTGCAGATGCAAGAAAAATCCTCTGACACACAGCCAGCAGGATATACTTCGGTAGCTCTTCTCATAATCTTAATGAATTGTTCTAAGCAAGTGGTTCCCAAACCCAATTCATCTGCCAAATATCCCAGAAAGATTTTTTTAAGTAGAGATTCCCAGTCCCTAATCCCAAACAGATTGAATCAAAATCTCCAGGGAAGAGCCCTGGAAACTGTGCTTCTAAACAAAAACAAAAACAAAAATAAAAGACTCCATGTCACCATACCGACCTGTCCTTGGTCACTCAACTCTTAATTAGCACCTTTAGAAGCAGAGGTGAATGACCCAGGATGGAGGGGTGTTATTTCTACAAGGAATGATGCTTTCCTCTGGGCAAAGTTGACTTAGAGTTTCTCTGAACTCCTCCTTTGAAGGTGGGGCTGGGTCATTTTTTTGTTTCCTCTCATTAACTCATCCAGATGGGGCCCTAAGGGACCCCTTAGAAACAAAGTATTTTTTCCCACAGAGAGAAGGAAAGCATTATAGTTTTCCTAATACATGCTGAAGGGCTTATGCATGTAGGCATATAGTTCTCTCAGACTTCTGAACGTCTTATGCTCATTTAAAAGAATTCCAAAATGGTGAATAGTTTTATAATCTTGAGGTAGGTAAAACAGCAAAAGAAGAAATCAGAAAGATAAATTTGACTACATAAAAGTTTTTTAACTTTTATATATTAAAATACAATGTAAATAAACTGAAATGGTCAAAGAAAACTGAGGGAAATTTTGCAGACAAAAGACTGCTCTTTAATAAATAAATTGTTTTTATAAATCAACAGAAAAATAGGCAAAGGTGTCCGGGCACAGTGTCTAATGCCTGTAATCCCAGCATCTTGGGAGGCCAAGGCAGGTGATCACTTGAGGTCAGGAGATCGAGACCAGCCTGGCCAACATGGTGAAACCCTGTCTCTACTAAAAATACAAAAATCAGCTGGGCATGGTGGCACATGCCTGTAATCTCACCTACCAGGGAGGCTGAGGCAGAATTGCCTGAACCCGGGAGGCGGAGGTTGCAGTGAGCCGAGATCATACCACTGCACTCCAGCCTAGGTGACAGAGAAAAGAAAGAAAGAAAGAGAGAGAGAGAGAGAGAGAAAAGGAAGGAAGGAAGGAAGGAAGGAAGGAAGGAAGGAAGGAAGGAAGGAAGGAAGGAAGGAAGGGAGGGAGGGAGGGAGGGAGGGAGGGAGGGAGGGAGGGAGGGAAGGAAGGAAGGAAGGAGACACGGTCAGCTTACAAAAGAAGAAATGAAATGGTAAATGAAAAATTGCTGCATGTCAGTATTAATTTTTAAAAATACAAATTAATACAACATTGAAATCCCATTTTCACCCCTCAGGTTGACAAAGGTATTTTAAAAGAGCACGTTGGAAGTGTTCTTAGGGGTATGAGTAAATAGGTGCTCTCATACAGAGTAGGTGGGAGCAAAATTAGTGAAAGCTTCCTAGAAAGTTAATATCAATGTCATCAAAATGTGTGCATCTGTCAGGATAGGTTAGGTTATGCTGCAATAATGAATAACCCCCAAATCTCCATGGCTTTCAATAAGAAAATGTATTTCTCATTCACACTACTTGTCCATCATGGCTCGACTGTACCTCTGCCCACATCATTTTCATTCAGCCTTTGTCAAGAACATTGTCAGTCTTCTGGCAGAGGGAAATGAAACATGGCAAAAGATGGACTGAGTCCTAAAGCTGCTGCCTAGAGGTTTTACCATGTCCACTCACATTTCATTGGACAAAGCAAATCATGTGATCACTCAGTAGGGCAGGAAGAAAAAATCTTCCCACAGGGAGGTGCACCACTGGGAATGAACTGGAAAATTTGGTGAGAAATCATACAACACACATTTCCCTTGGACTAATGATTCCAGCGTCTAGGACTTTATCCCTCAGAAATAATCAAAAAATTTATACACATGACATAATTTATAATTGCAAAAATGTTCAAACATGAGTTGTTTGAACTGCAAATGTAGGGGATTAGTTAAATAAATTATGTTACACTTCTATGATTGAAAAGTTTAGGATTCTTCTACAAGTAGAAAAAGAATCACATGGGAATATGTTTAAGATGTTCATTAATGGAAAAAAACTCTGTGAATAATGTGATTACAGTTTTGTAAAAACTGAGTAATAATGTGTCAAAGAACTCAATAAATATTTGTCAAATTAATAAATTAAAAAATACTGGAAGGATGTTTGCCAAAATATTATCATATCTCAAGATATAAGGGTTATGGGGAATTTTCTTTTTCTTCTTTGTGTTTCTCAATATTTTTCCTTTTTTGCAATCAGCATGTTTTATTTCCATACTATGGTAATATATGCCATAAAATATATACATTATATTTTCTAAAATCATTGCAATAAATTTAAACAAAAACAAAAGAAGTATGGCGGGAAGTGGCTATCATCTTTGCAAGAAACCACAATGATGAGGCCTTCCTGTCTTTTAGGGTCTATGGTGGCCAAGTTTTTAAGTGCCATTTTCTGGGCTGTTCATATTTTGTAGTCTATAAATTATTTAGGAGCATCTAACTTACCACTCTGTTTCCATCTTTCACTTCTCTCTTTCTCTGGATCTCAGCCACAACTATGTTCGTGGGTCCATTACACTTTTTATCATCAACTTGCATCGATCAAGAAAGAAAATCAAGCTGGCTGGGACTCTCAGAGACAAGCTCGTTCACCAGTACCTGCTGCAGCCCTATGGGCAGGAGGGCCTAAAGTCCAAGTACGTGCCAACCTGAAAATAGCTCGGGAGTAAGTGCAGCAGGAGCTGAGGGAGGGGGGAGCTGAAGACACCAAGATTGCTACTAATTATTTCAAGGGTTCAGTGGGATGGAGTAGGACAAAGAGTGGTCTGGGGTCAGGTGACTGCTGACTCCTTTTGGAAACCTGCTCAAGCCCCTCCCTATCTTAGATCCCTCAATTGTAAAGTCAAATGGTGGAGAAAGTATTTCTCAACAAGGGTGCTCTTTGTATTTGAGCGAGATAACTCTTCTTTATACACGACTATCACATTGTAAGCTGTTTAGCATCCTTGGCTGCTGCTCACCAAATGCCAATAGTGCCCCATGGTCATGTAGCAACCAAACATCCTGGTAGTTGAGAACCATGTCCCTCACAGCTGTAACATTCTGTAATGCTATGACTCCCTTGTTGTTACCATCTATTAACCTCACAGGGCTTACAGGAAGGAGCACTAAACAGAGAGTTTAGTGCTCGAAAGTTCAGAGGTAAAGAGTCTGTCCTACCCCAAACTTTATAACTTGAACACACCACTGCTCCATCTCAGCTTCTTCATCTGAATAATAGGACAGAGATTTTAGTTTGAGGGCTCTGTGGCCCCTTCTAAACTCTACAAATGTATGATTCTGTGACACTCCCTGCCTCCGTCAGTCTCTATTAGAGACTATTGACACATGGATCTCTACGAACAGAAAAACTCTAGGACAGTGAGCAGGGCCTGGTCAAGGGCAAGGCCACCCCAGCTCCCCCAGTAAGGCCTCTCAGGAAGGGTATGGGATGCTGCACAGACTGGAAGCATTCCTATTCCATTTTTAATGTTTACCAAGTTTAACAAAGCTGTAAACTTGGAGCAGGTGGCTTGCACTCCAACAGCTGCCCACAAATATTTGTGCTATAATTATTCACTGTTTCACTGCAACCTTGGTGGCTTGCATTTGGCTTCCAATTGTATTTGCAATGGGAGCAAAAAACAATCTGGGAAGTCACTTATTGAGTCTCTTTAGCCCACCCTAGATCTTGATTTTCAGTCTCGGTTCACATGCTGGCTCTTTTTTCTGGCTACATGTACATTGCGTCTGCTTTTCTTTCTTCCCAGTCCTACCTATGTCAGCAGGACTCTACTGAGTATTTTATCCCCTTTCTCTCCACTTCTGAGTAGTTCATGATGAGTGTGCTGAATTCCTGGCCTTCATCCTAGTCAGGAGACCTGCTTCTGGTCCCAACTTTGCCAGTAAATAATCATATGACCTGGGAAAATTATTTTATCCTAATCCTTTGGCCTCAGTTTCCTAATATTCAGATTTCAAGGGTTGTTGTATATTTGGTAAGGTCCTGTGCAGCTTGAAAACTCTCATCCTGGGTGTGATTTTCTGAGGACCATGAGTGCATTAAATCTCCTGCTGCCATTAAATAATGATCTGCAAAGCCATTTCTGACAGAAGGGCTGACTCTGCAGCAATGATTAGGGTCCTCTCATTAGGGTCCTCTGGAACCGAAGAGCTTAGGAGCTGAGCCTGCCCAGTGTCAGGAAGACTGTGTGTACTGTGTGGAGGGGACTGGCCAAATGCTGTAGTCTAACAAGCCAAGGTGTCCATCCCTGCTCTGTTACTTGCTGGATGTGTGTCTTTAGGCAAGTTATGTCATCTCTGTGAGCATCAGTTTCCTCATCTGTGAAACCTCTTTTGTGGAGCAAAATAAGTGAGGTAATCTGTGTAAAGTTCCTGACACATAGTAAATGCTCAATAAATGTCCATTACCTTCCTTTTCCTCGACTCAGAAATCTAGCTGGTTGAGAAAGAGGAAGGATACAATTGCTTTCCCTAAGAATGTTCTTCCAAAGAGGAATGTTTTCAGACTTTTAAGATAATGTGTTAACAAGACATGTGTTAGGATTATGATAAAAAATCATGCTAAGAATTACAAAAAAGCAAAAGGATGAAACAGAAGATGATAGTCAAGGGTAGCACTTTTTTATGAGCTTGTTTTCCCTCCAACCAAGGATGCAGGCAGGCCTCTAAACCTATTTACCCCTCCCCTATGTCCCTGCCTCCAAGATGATTCCCCTGCTGTTTGGAGCTGGCCACACCTTAACCCCTGTCTTTCTATACCTATCCTTACGAGTGACTGAAGGGACTGACTCCCACTGGCCAGCGATATGCCGTATGTTCAACTTTTGCCATCACCACACTAGTGAGAAGTTGTGTTACAACTTTGTTAAGAATGTAGGAGACCAGCCAGGCACAGTGGCTCACACCTGTAATCCCAACACTTTGGGAGGCTGAGGTGAGGGATTACTTGAGGTCAGGAGTTTGAGATGAGCCTGGCCAACATGGTGAAACCCTTTCTGTACAAAAAAAGTACAAAAATTAGCCAGGTGTGGTGGTGAGCACCTGTAATCCCAGCTACTTGGGAGCCTGAGGCAGGAGAATTGCTTGAACCTGGGAGGCAGAGGTTGCAGTGAGCTGAGATCACACCATTGCACTCCAGCCTGGGCAACAGAGCAAGACTCTTGTCTCAAAAAAAAAAAAAAAAAAAAATGTAGGAGAGGGACAAGGACAAAGAGAATTTCATTCTACAGGGATCCTTAAGAAAGATTTGGTAATGCCCACTGAGCTCAAATAATAATGTCAGGTAATTGGAAGAACATTGGAACTGGAATTAGAAGGTAAGGGTCTGAATTCAGATGCTACCATTTATCTTTGTGATCAAACCTGAGCTTCCTTAACTGTCAAATGGGATTATTGTGAGACTCAATTTGGAAAATATGGTTGAAATAAAGCCTTCCACAAATCCATGCATATGCATACATCTATAAATATAAATACAGATACACACATAACGATTTTACATATGTTGGATTAGAGAGTTTTGGATTGGAATTCAAGGGAACTGGATTCCAGCCCCGATCCTGCCACTAATTCACTGTGAAATGTTGGGGCCTTCATTCTTCTGAGTCTGTTCTGCCTATAAATTACTGCCAATTTAACACCTCTCCTGTTCTGGACCTCATTGGCTCGACCCTGGGCTGTGCCATGGTGGACTGTAAGCTGCCAGACAGGGACTGTCATGTATATGTTCAAGACCACATCTAGTGCTCTGCTTAGCAGCTACTAAAGAGCTGAGAGGTCTGGGATGGGGGTCTCACAGGAAGGGTGTGGTTTCAGTGAAGCAGACTGTGCAGAAAGGGATGAAAGGAAATGCTAGGAAGTGATTTCAGCCTTTGGTGTCTCTTTCTCTCTTTTATAAGCCTCTGGGGCCAGACTCTGTGTTCTATGTCTGCTAGTTCTTGCTACAGCTTGAAGCCATATTAGCTCAGAAGGGGATAGAAAGTTCTGGGAGCAGAGGAATGTGTAATTGCTCCTGTCTGGAGGAACCAGGAAGAGGATATAGAGGAAGTCAGTGCCCTCCACCCCAATTCAAGCCACCAGTTGGGTGTTCTGGTCAGTGTTTCAGGATAGGGAAAGGCCAGGAGACTTCTTTGATTGCTCGAGGACTTGGGGTAATTCTCTTTCTCTTAGAATTGCCACTGGGCCTGGGAAGATTTAAAATCTCTGAAAGGGCATCTCTATGTGAACTCAGAGCTAAGGTATGTCAAGTATCACACAGGAAGCACCCTTGGAGTCACGATTTAGGTATGATCTAGGCAACCACATTCACAAGAAGGTTCTTGTTTCCCATCTCAATGAATGAACCAATCGTAAGACCCCCTACTCCAGTCTCAACTCCTTATATAAGAGACTGTTCTTATTCTAGGAACCAGACAAAAAGTGGGTGCTCTCTAGCCCATAGGACAGAAGTTTTAGAAAATTGCAGTGTATACAAATAAGAGTATTCTGCATCTGGAATACACATTCTTCAGGGAATAGCTGAAGGAAATGGGGAAATTTAGTTCAGAGGAGAAAAGTAAGGTAAGTCATGAGGACTTTCTTCAGAGGACTGCCAAGTGAAATTAAACAGTTTTGGCCTAGAATACTCCAAAATGACAGAAAACCAAGGAGTGCAATTTAAAAGAGATAGATTTCACTTCAAAATGAGCTCGTTTTCCAAAGGCTTGCCTGGTCTGACCGAGGTCAGGATAGGCTTTCTCAGGAGGTAGCCTATTAATCAGAGTGTGAGCAGCCATCTCAGAGGTGCTCTAGGATTCCTTCCTCAGTCGGGGGTTGGACAAGGGATTATAGCTTCCCTTTGAGCTCTGAAATTCTATTCTCTTCTGGTCCCCATTCCCCCTGCTTCCTCTTCACTTTTGGAGCCTGTGTTCTCAGTGGTCACCGGCAAAGTCAAGCCACTAAAAGGCCACACAAAGAGGCTCTATGACTAGAGGAAGTGGTGGCAGTATCTGGCTAGTTTTCTTTTCCAGAAAAAATCCAGCTGTGGGTCCCTCCCTCGTCATGTTCCCTGGTTTCTCACCTTTCTCAGAAGAAGATGGCCCCATTCACATCCAGAATGATAGTTCCCATTCTGGATAAGTCAGAGAAGACTTTGAGGGCATCTGCAAAACACAGAATCTACCCATTGCCTTGTGTGATCACAAAGCAATAACCACTGTCCTCTAGGGCAGCGGTCCCCAACCGTTTTAGCACCAGGGAGTGGTTTCACAGAAGACAGTTTTTCCACAGACTGTGGGGGTTGGAAGTGGTTTGGGGATGAAACTGCTCCACCTCAGATCATTAGGCATTAGATTCTCATAAGGAGTGTACAACCTAGATCCCTTGCATATGCAGTTCATAATATGGTTGGCACTCCTATGAGAATCTAGTGATGCTGCTGATCTGACAGGAGTGGAGCTCAGGTGGTAATACTCACCCACCACTCACCTTCTGCTGTGCAGCCCAGTTCCTAACAGGATTGGTCCATGGCCCAGGGGTTAGGGAGCCCTGCTCTAGGGAATCATTTGCACCTGATACATATCTCCAGTGTCTCTCAACAAACAGAGAAGCAACATGAAGTTTGGCCTCACAAGCCAGCTGACATCTAAAATGAAAAGGACTTACCTTTCCAGAGAAAAAGCAAACCAAGAACAGGTGTTAGGTCAGATCCCAGTGTTCTCCCTTATGTGCCTTGTTCAATTCCATTTGGAGGGAAAATATTCCAAAAATTAGGAAAGAGGGAAGCAACTTTCATCACATTGGCTGTTCTGTTCTGACACATTGACTTGAGGGAACCAGCAGATGCTGAGAATCCTGAGATGGAGTGACACTGGGAGGTGATCTGGCTCTCTCCCCCAGCCTTCAGTCTGTGGCCAAGCCATCCGGACTAGAAGACGCCCCACATTTAAAGACCTCTCAGAAAGGGGTGACCACAATTTCAATCCTGTCTGAACACTTAATTTTGTAAGAGTGCTGGGGGCCACTGTACCTATGGTTGCAACTTTATAGATAATGAAAAACTTTAATAGCCAATATCTCATTTAACCTTCTGACAGAACCATGAAGCATATCGAATAATTCTTGCCTCCCTTCCATTTTAGAGTTGAAGACACTGAGTCTTAAAGCATTAAGTGACTTATTCAAGAGTCACACAACTAGTAAGTGAAAAAGCTAGAAGTCCCTAGGATCCAGTTCCCCTGACCCTTACACTAGTGCACTTTTTTCAACAATGTGCTACAACAACAGTCTGGTACTATAAAATTACAATTATATAGGACAAATATACATATGGATAACTGGACTCTGTCATGATATTATCTGGGTTCATTTCATCACAGGCTCCTTATAG